GTATGCAACTTGATCACCACGGCTGGCGTGAACTTCCTTCTGCAGACTGTCTTGTAACTCCGGATTCCGGGCGAGTTCGAGTAGAGCGAAAGCAAGCGTTTTCGCGGTAGTTTCCTGCCCAGCAATCGCCAGGAGAGATGCATGTGCTGCCAGTTCCTCCGCATCCATTGTCTTCTCCCACTGATCTGACGCGACTAGACACGTCTTCAGCGAAGTCAACAACAGAGAAGCCAACTGACCAATGCGGCTGAACGCATCATTACCGAGCTCGAGTCCTTGGTGTACTGCTCGCAGTTTCTCCTGAACGATCCGGGTGCCAATCTGCATCCCCAGATCCCGCCCTCTCCGCAACTCATTGAAAGTAGGGGTCGGAAGCAGAGACACAATGCTCCAGAACCACCCAGGCAGACGCGTCCCGAGAGCCTTCATCAAGAGAGACGCCGTATCACTCTTGGTCGCCAGGCCGCTGTGAATCACGGTCAAGATCTCATTTGTAAACAAATGAAAAGCTACTGACACCACGCGTGAGCATATTTGGACGAATTCATCGCCCAATTCCTGTGTGCTGCAGCCGATAACGGCTAGAAGCCGAGTAGGTGTACGGGAAATAGAGGACTACTGGAAGGTACCTTCACTGATCGCGCTCAGAGTGGCGATGGTAAGTAATGGGCAGACATCAATTGAATCAGTCGAGGAACTAAGTTCCAACTCTTTCGTTAGCTTGGGCGAGGATGCGAGGATGAGACCGATATTAATTCACAGAGACACGACTACGCACCTGTTCCGCAGCACTTTCCATTGCAGACTGATACTGACGGACCCCAGCAGCAGAGAAGCTCGAGCTGAAAGCTGCACGAAGTCGGCGGTAATTCCCATCTTCATCTTCTTCAGTCTACACAGACATTCTCGAGTGGCAAACACACCTCTCACGATCAAAAGACTCCTCTTGCTGTATATCAACTTGTGGAGGTTGTTCAACAGCGGAGAATGATCGAACTTGTTGCTGTTGACGATGGATTGTAGGGCTACCGGATCGGATACTATCAGGCGGTCCTCCTGCAACAAATTTGGAGAAATGAGTGGTCCAGTTGCTCGAACAGTCGAAGAGAGACTCACCCCGAAACACCCTTTGACACGATACAAAGGACCATACAGTTTCTGCCACGTGAACTCATAGTCTCCGTACTGGTACGGGGCCAGCAGCTGCAGCAGATTGCCTACGACCTGACAATGAGCTGCAGCCTCATCGCTGTCCGAAAAACAGACGCTGACCGAAGATCCACGACGGGGAGGGGGGACCTGGGATACTTCGCAGGCCGATACCGGTGTTCCCTCCACGCAGGAGCAGGAAAGCGACGAGAGCTGCTATTGAAGCGGTGACGTAACCCAGCTGCAGACTGTCCATGGCGGTAAGAAGAGGGTTTAATTTGGTGTGATCTGATATTCAGCTCACCTTATAAACGGCGCCCAATGACACCGGCGCCGTTCCGAGGAAGACGTGTGAAGTGAAGAGCGGCGCCGTGAGTCCCGTGAGTCCGCCTTTGAGCGTCCGTCGGCCAACTGAAAGATCACGAGTCCGGGCCAACTTCTCGAGGATGTCAAATCAAGAGACAGTCGACACTCGGATTGTGGTCAGAGCCAAGGAGTAGCAGCAAATCCAACATGAAAGTCGGAAGCAAGGAGTAAATGATGGGACATCAATCAATTGATCAATCAAACACCAAACATAACATCCGCGATGATGGTCCGTGCCTCTCTACAAGATCCGAATATGCCAACAAAATCCGATTCGACACTCATCTAAGTATGCTAAAATGCCCTGCATTTGCGAACCCCAAACAGAGAGAAAGTGGATCAGTGATGAGAAATTCGGGATTGAAGGTTCGAAATCTCCCTCTGGATCGCAGCCAGTTCTGTAAACAATTAGAATGAGGGAATCAAAAAACCTGGAGGTAGGGCAAACTCACCCTCTTCAGATCGTCGAACTTGTTCAACTGCATGCAAATCAAATCAGCAAGTTGGAATCTGCCATAGACACGATATTACGCACTGGCACTCTGCGTATCCTGCCGAGTGATCTGCGCTTTCCTCTGCAGTGCACTCGTCGCTGATATAATCGATCAGTATGAGGGAGTCTGCGACTGAGGAAACGCTCTCACTTGCTCGAATTTCCTGCAATTCCGCCGACGAGCGTTGTTCTGCCGCTGCCAGCGCTGAATTTCGAGCTCATTCCACAAAATTTTGAATCGGAAGACAGAACTACTCACCGGCTACAAGTTCCTGCTCGCGTTTTTGGTACAAATACGACACTGTTCGTTGGTTGAGTAGGAGATCATGCCGATAGCACCACGAGGCGACGTACTGCCGATGGCTTCCTTCTCCTTCTTCTTCACTAGAAACTCGCGCTGTCAGTAGAAGGTCATGATCTTGGAAGATGGGACGCACCAGAAGCAAGCTCTCGGGCTTTGAGTCTCAGTTCTGAAACCAAAAGGTTGAGGATTATCTTTCACAGAGCGCACCTTGAAACCTCGACCCACCTTGTTTGGATTTCTGCTCCGCTTTCAGCGCTCTCTGCATCCCATCCAGTGCCTGGTTGCACCGTTCCTCGTAGGAAACTGGACCCGGAAGCGCCGTCTGTGGCGGGCCAAAAACATCTGGCGGGTGTTGACCTCCATGGCTGGCATAGGAAGGCCGAGTGGGACCGTCGAGTGGCAGCGTGGCTGCAGGAATCGGATATCGTCCCGTCGGACGAGAAGCACCGCCAGCATCCGGATGCTGTGGCGCCGGGCCCCCCATTCTACGCTCTCTCCTAGGTTTACTCGACTGCTCACCCTCCAGCATCCAGTGCAGGATCTGCGAAATGAGAGCAGCGACGTCCGGAATCACGCCGGGCACAAGTGGGGCGATGTTCCTGCGGGTCATCTACAAGCGCCAGTTCAATTTCATTCTTCTTTTTGCAGCAGTGGAACTTCAGCGCACCTCATTTCGGCTGGCACACACCGCGTCCTTGGAAGTCCACGACACACTCCCCGGATCAGCCCACAAGAACAAATCCGACGTCTCCGGGTTTCGCGCCCAAGGATGAGCGACGAGGTACCTGTGCAGCGGCGCTCTGTCGACCAGAACGGCGAGCCACCTTCTCCATTGGCGCGCCCCGGCGTTCCCAGCGCGATCACACCAATACAAGGCGTGCATCCGCGAATTGAGGTCGATGTAGACGTCGCCTACGGTTCCGAAATCAGGCGAAGGTGGGCCCATCCCGCGGAATTCGGTGTAATGGACGGTGCACGATGTGCGGGAGGTATCGGTGAATGGGTATGGGTGCCCCGGGGCGAGGGTCGACGCGTGGGTTGGGAATGAGCGTTGGAAGGAGTGCATGAGAGGATTCAATACTTTTTTGTTTCCAGAACTAGGACCGTGGCTTTGGGTTTTTATGTATTCATCCCGCATCCCGGATAATTTTCCATTCTGCAGTCCAAGGACCAAATGTTGCTTTACGGCCTTGCAACCGTTTCTGTATACTAGGCTCACCCAATTGACACTCAAGTGCTTGACGTCATGTTACAGACGTAGGCAATTCAAAATGCATGTAAAAAGTTGGAGATCAGCAGTAATACGACGGATAATGATCAACTCAACTCCCGACCGCGGTCAGTTCGTGCGGCATTTGACATGTTCAAGAACCACCCGGGGTAGCGACTTCAAGCTGGATTGAGTACCCAATGTGCGCGGCCTGTCGATCGTACACTCGGGCGGTGTCTCCGAGGAAGCCGATCGACGCGAGGTTGGCTGGAGTTCCACCTCGGTGTTGGGAGAAGCGGATTCCGCATCGCTGAGAAATCCACACCTGATCAACCTTTCAGCATGGAAAACACGCGGACGGGAGGAAATCTATAGAAATGATCGGAATGCGGGACAGCTTTGAAAAAAAAAAAGTCCCCTTGCAGAGTCTCAGAAGGTTGTGTGCGGTGTTGCATATACTTGCGGCAAGAGGCGCTTTGCGTGAGAGACATTCACGAGAAAAAAAGACAACAGGGACCTACAGTCTGTAGTCAACATCTCGGCAGTTGTTCCGCGGATGCATAGGGTCACAGCTTCGTCGCAATCCTCGAGCAGCTGGCAATCGAGCAGCTGGCAATACTCAAGCAGCTGGCAGTCCTCGAGCAGCTGTAGATGGTCGTACGAGCTAATGGTACACCTGACATTACGGGTGAGCGACATGACAGCCTAATAAAAGGTCTTACATATTCGAGCCCATTGACAGACTTTTGATATGTTGAATGTCCTGCAAGCCGCGTTCCAAATTTGCCTCGGGAAGACGGAGTGAGTTGAGATCAATCAAGCAGGATACTTCTTTTGGTCCGTAGATCCACGAAAATGGGCCGCAAATTCTAAAAGCAGACAAAAGTTCATCTGGAACTTTCAATGCGGCACATGCATGTCCTAGAAAACGGATCAGAGACACCGCGCGCACGGCCCCATACTACGATCTTCCAAGGTGATTGAGCCCCCAGTCCCGTTGAGCGCCTGTGGGGCTGTTCGGAGTGTCAATATCCCAGTTCAGTGCATGACAGCTGTTCTGAGAGTATGGCACGTCTTGTGCTATGGCAGTTACAGCCAGACGACCAGTCGACAACGAATGAAAAAGTAGAGTGGCGAAGAATGATGATCAGATGCAACACAGCCTTCACTCGGCACTTCGGCGGGATCAACCTTCGACCTTTTTGGAGCGTTGGGGAGGGAACATGTAGACGCCTGAATGGTGGGTCCATAGTCCGTATTACAGCTGACCATACAAGTATGTGGTGGTCAATGCAGGCGCAGCACTCACTGAAACAAAAGAGACGTCGAGCTCATGATTATCGTTGTGGACAGACTGAATCTGAGCTAGTCCTATTTTCGTCAATTGCAATTTGATTGCAACCAAAAAGTAGCGATATTTTAACATCGACGGCTGCATATGCAGATATGCAAAAGAGAACTCGGGTCACGCACAAGCATACCGATGCGGGGAATCGAACCCCGCCCCCGCGCAACCGCGTCAAAGTCAAACGAGCGCAATGAGAGGCGGATATGTTACCAATACACCACATCGGAATTAAGTGCTAAGTGACACGCGATATAACAGGCGAGGGAGCCCGACATACTGGAGTTCTCAAGGTAAATTATCCGTTCTTTAACGAAATGGCTCTCGATTCTTTGTCCAGACCTGCTTTTATGGGCCATTGCTAGCGCATGGCAATCCGAGTCTGGGGGTGTGGAGACGATAGGGGAGGCCCCAGGTATTGTAGCAGCGAGGTAATTTCGAATGCCAAGGACGTGACAGTGCACACGAAGAGTCTCGAAGACAGAGAAAGTTGAGAGTCCGGCAGCACATTGAAGGCGAGACCAAAGCAGGAACACAGTGAGGCCGGGAATTGGAAATTGGCCAGTCTCCAGATTGGAAAGCCGAGGAAAGCACGAGTTCATTGCCTGGAGAGTCACAGAAACGGATATTGGGAATCAGGATTCAGCTGAAGCAAGACGCGCGCAGCCGCTGTCAACGGTGAAGATCACAACCCATCGGCCGGCGGAGAGAAGCCAACCGATCCATGTTCAAGGCTTACTAAAAGGAAATTAGTAGTCAAAGACGTCATCGATCAAAATTTGGACCCCATGTTGGCGGAAAACGGGCCGATAAAACCGAGCTTAAAAATAAATTTTTAAGACTCGGAATGTCACTCAGTTTGGCTCCATCCCCGTATGGACTTTCCATTTACACCCATCTCCCTCTTTGAAGGGCCTCTCTACAGCTTTCTTACAGCTTTTGCAATGCTTCTTTCCCCACTGTCGACAGTTGTGGCCCACGACCACAGCTTTCTTGACAGACCAACACGGAACAGCAGTGGAGCGACCACTGGCCGTAAGATGACGCGTCGCCGGCAGATGCACTTATAGAGAAGCTGGGCCCTGGCCGCCGGTTCGCCCACTTTCCCTCCTACCCATTCCTGGCTGCTACGTGCTACTCATCCTTGGTCATTGGGATCTTCAAGACTCAATTGTTCTGCTGCTGGGATACTTAGTGTTGTCTCTTTTGTCCTCAACTTGAAGCCGGCTTCTTGGCGAACCCCTCATTGGACATCTCACCATGGCATCCCTCTCCATTTTCATACCGGCGTTCATCAAGTCGAAGATTTTGACCCCGGTCAGGAAATGATTCCGGCGTCGCGCCTCTCAGCCACACAGGAGCTTCCGAACATCGCCGTCTTGAATCATCACATCCCAATGGACACTGAATCTCTATATGCGCCAAATATGCGAAGGTTTCAACCGCTCAGCTTCGCATTACTGCAATACTCTGGCTGGTGGGGGGGGGAGACTCGACGGGATACGTGCCAATGATGTAGTGCCCCGGTGCGTGGTTCTGTTTTCACTCATTGGATTGCAGACTTACCTGGCTCGAGATCCGGCGCCGTCGTGCACCGCGCCGCACGCTCTGACTCGAGGTTTATACTCGGTCTCTTTGACCTCGGGGCACTCTCCACTGCTATCTCCCTTCAAGCCACGCGTCGCACCGCCCGGCGATGTTCGAGACATTCCCCGGCTGTGCCTTCACGCTCCCCACATTCAATCCGCACGCGATGCATCATATGCGTGGTTCTTTCCATCCGCTGCTACTGCTCTCGCGCTTGCATGGCTCTTCGCTCTTCAAAGATTCAAAGTTCAAATGATTTCTCGAAGGTCTCTGACAACAACAACGTCCCTCCAGCTTTGATCGTTCTATATTCATGCTGGATCGTCCCTCACCGGCCCTGCCGCAGGCATCCGGAACATCACATTCCCCCATCTTACCCAGGTCGTACTCTGCCGTCCTTTCAACTTTGCCACCGCCTCCGACGTTCAAGACCGCTGGCTAGCTGCATCTCAATTTTCAAACAAACCTGTACACTATTCTGGGGAAGACAATCGACATTGATCACTCAGGACAAACTGATGAGCGCCATCGAGTAAACTCACGGCTACATATATCCGCTGGTCTCTGCAGGCTCAAAGCTATCAGGTCTGTCTGCATTTCGAATTCATTGACTTCTATGTACAGTCCAACTTCGCTCCGGTGGAGCATTCATGATTGGTTTCAATGTAGTCCCCATGTGCACGTAGTCAGAGTTCATTGGTTTCAAAATTCAGGCCCACAATGCAAAATTTCCGGAGCGAAGCGAAGGAGCGTCTTGTACAGCTTCAAACAATTCCAACCACGAGTTGAACCTCCTTCTCCTGCTCCGCCGCGACCGCAAATTTCGGCAAAAGCCTGAAAATCCTCTTCCTCGCACCTTCCTCAGAATCGATTCCCATCGCTCCCCCTCCCTTGGCACAGAAGATCGACACACGGCGCAATGCCGCAAACCTCTTCTCCTCTGAATCCGCCAACATACAATCAAGCCTGGACCAAGCCTCTCGACGCTCTCGATACCGCAGCTGGTCGTGCGCGGCGACGTCCATCAAATGAAGCGTAATCTCTTCGATATTTGAAGGGAGCCGTGAAAAGAGGGACGGAGCCAGTTGGTCGAAAGCGAACTGTCCGAATGTGAGCGAGACGGATTTGAGTGATTGAAGGTTGTCGAAGAGGGTGTCTAAGCCTGAGGTCACTGCTTAGGAGAGAGCAGTGAAGACAACTCATGTTTGCGCACCTGCTTCCTCCGGCTGGTAAAACGACAATTCGATGTTTGAAAGTGTCGGCCCAAAACGACTTAAGTTCTTGAGCCCCAAAATCGAACTTGAATGCCGGACGACAAGTGAGTCGATGACACCTCCATGCTGTTCGGTGAACCACTCGAGCACAGCCGATTCCAGCTGTCCCTTTTCATGCAACACCAAACTGCGAACCGTGACCGGAGGCGGGCTCATCGGCGTCGGCGTTGAATCATCCACAAAAAACGCCGCCACGACATCCTCCCTCCAATACTCGAAAATCTCCCCACATTCAAGCGTCGTGAGACCCTCGAACGTGGATACAAACGCCGCAATCAGGCGCATCGAGATGTACTCGGGAGAGTGAATCTTCAACCGCCGAACGCGACGTTTCATCGACGCGGGTAGAGCCCGTTCCACCGCGTCTAGGTCCGCGAGCTCCATACTGTAGAGGCCCAACGTCGTCAACGCGGAGAATTTCGGTATATGCACGAGCAGCTCGTCTATCCGGTGCGTATCAACCCTCGGCGGCGAAAGCCCTGGGATTGCGAAATAATCGAATCCTTCATCGTAATAATTACTCGGCGCGGTGATGTCGATGGTCCGAACGTGAGGAAACAAGGTGCAGAACGGGCTGCTGAGAATAGATGCCGTGCCCGTGTCGTGGCCCCTGAACGATATTTTGTTGAAGAGATGTCTGCGTGCGACGTACATCCACCCGTGGGACACCAAAGAGAACGTCTTGAGGGCCGCCTTGTCCTCCGAGGCTGCATCCACGATCAAGAGAAATATCTCGAGTGGGAGTCGGGGGCCTTTGAGCTGAAAAGGATAAATTGAACGACGTGGGTAGACGAGGTCGGTATGAGCGACTCACTCGACGGATCTCCTGCCACAGTTCACCGTTCAGTCTCTGAAGAACGCCAATCTCGTCATCCTGCGCCACCAATCGCGCTTCCAGCTTGATGACAAGGGCACGCAAATCGCCTGGTGTGAGTGCGCTCGCTGATTGCGCGGTCGAACAAGCCACTACTTCACGAGTCAGTCGGGATTGAGATGAGACGAGGTGATTCACCTTGGGTGGCCCACTTCATTTGGGGGGTCCCAATGCTCGTCGAGTGGTACGTGTCCATCCTGTGGGTTGTAGCTCTGGGTAAGAAGCAGAAACATCAGCTGCCCGGTTTCTGTGCTATCAATAGTAAAGCTGTTTCCCTCACACCCGGTGCGACGGCCAAACGATGACCCGATTCGTTCATATGGAACCCACCCATTGGTTGTTCAAAATTGCACAAGAGCAACGAGCCAAGATCCGCCGAGGAAACAAAGAAGAGCGGAGAAGTTGTTGCATCATGTAGATCACTGGGAGCTGGGAAAAAGAAGGCGAATCGCGCATGACGACAGAAAAAAGTCAGAAAAAAGGCCCAGAGAGTTCACAAACAGTTAAAATATACTACTTAGCGAGAACTGAGAACGCTCCGCAGACTACCCCAGATCGAAGAAGGCCGGGCTTGGGCAGCCGCATGACGATCGCGCCGTTCCTTCTCCGCCAACAACATCTTCTCCATAATCTGCATTTCCCGCTTCTTCATATCCTCCTCCGACAAAGAGCCCCGCCCACCATCGAGCGTCGTATCCTGGTCGTTCTCAGAGTCGTACACGCCTTCACAAAGCCCCGCGACGCAGCACAGGGCGTCGACTTTCGCTGCATACCAGTCCCTATGCCGCATGCCATCCCGCCACTCGACCGGTAGCCCCTTTTCGTACCCAACGAGTGCACCCATGAGTGCACCAGCCACAGCCCCATTCGTGTCTGCGTCCCCGCCGTACATGACGAGCGTCGTCATCGCTGAGCGAAAGGTATCTTGATGGGCAAGCACGCGACGAAGGCACCAGAGAGCCGCCCCAAGACACTTGTACACGTAACCCATCTCGCGGTCACATAGCACCAATGCGTCGAGTGTCTCTGCATACACGTGCCGCTCGAATTCAGCACGGTCCAGGAGCGAGGCGTGGTCTGGGGCAAGGACACCAGGTCGCTGTAGGTAAGCCCAGGTGCGCTCGATGAGGGTGCGAACCTGCTCTGCACTGATGATTTCGCCGAGAGATAAAGCCCGGACAAGAGCAGAGACGACTGCGACAGACAGGGCACACCGCGGGTCAGCGTGTGTGACTGCACCCATGCGGATGGCAGCGTCGAAGGTGGCTTCTTCAGTTGTAGGAATGCAGATGACACCGACAGGGGCCGTGCGAATGAGGGAGCCGTTGGGTGCTGCAGCACGTCCGCCTTTCTCCCAGTAGTGTAGCGCGATGCTGGAGGGGTCAGAAGTGTATGTGGGGGAAAGGACGACACTGCCGACCGTTCCTGTACGGTCGATCAGCGGGATAGAGGGTCAAGAAAGCCGGGGTACACACCGCCAAGGCCCATCGGTAGA